ACACCCATGCTTGCAATGAACATGATTTATTCTCCTTTCCTGTGTCATTAGCATTCTAGTAACTAGATAGGTTTTTCTCCAAGCATGTGAGTCCACAGGGAAGGATTCTGGGTCCCACACCACAAAGTTCTCAACGGTAGAACAGAAGCACAGCTGCTTCAGTTATCTCCCGGCTACTGCTGCTCCCTGTGTGAGTTCCGTATCCACTCCAATCAAATGAAGAGAAGTCGCCACACTGAATGGGGTTCCTTTCTGGGAAGAATCCTCCTCCACCAATGCAGTGCTGAAAAACAGGGGAAGGGAGTAGCAATGAGAGGTGTTATGGTTCGGTTATAAAATTTCCTATCAAAAGGTGTTAGATACTGAAGACCTGATCCCCAGGATAAGTAATATTCAGAGGCAGATCTTTGGGGAAGGGATTAAATATGAGGACGTTGCCTTTATCCATTATTTAATCACTAATGCCGTTTTGAACTGACTATTGGGAGGTGGTGGAGCTATGGAAAGGGGGCGTCTGGTTAGAGGAAATAGATCACTGAAGGTGTGAGTGGCATGATTTGAAGGGTATCGTGCTCTGACCTTTCCTGGTTGTTCCTTGACTTCTTGTAACTAAGAAGTGAACCATATTGCTCTGATATGTCTTTCCTGCATGATATTTCTGCTCCACCATGGATTTAAAAGCAACAGCGCCAAATGACCATGGTTTAAAATCTCGGAAACCATCAAGCGTTACTATTGCTGTGATGGAACATCATGACCAAAGCAAGCGTGCTCTCTTACTCTGGCAGGTGTGTGGCATGGTACTTAGCGTCTTTGGAGACCCGAGTGGCAGAGAGACAACATGGCATCAGAGGTGACTTCAGCCTTATTCTGTGTCTGTGAGTTTGTCCTCGTTGCATTCCCTAATAAATCGGTTTTTATGTCTTTGTGAGTTCATGCTTCACAAAGGTGAATTGAAACCCATGGCCTGTGGCTAGCCTGCGTGGCATCCTTGTTCCGTGGGACCCAGAGCCTGCAGACATCCGCGAGCTGCCACCTGGACATGGTGGAGCTCTGCTCTGATTAAGCACAGGGTCCCACAGAAGCCACCGGTTAGGCTGCATGCCCTTTCACATCTGGAGCTGATCTCACCATACACAGCGCCATAGGCACGTGTATTAGTCACATTAGCCGCCCCAGCCTCCCCTCTCCCCCACGCTGAATCCTGAGGCTGTTGTAACAGCTCAATGATTCTGATCTGCCTTGCGCTTCTGTCTGACCTGACCTGCTTTGCATATGAGCGTGATGTTTTGTGGACTGAGGCCGTCTCCAACCCAATCCCAAAGACACCAGGTCTGGTCAGGGAATAGTCACGGCAGTCACAGTCTGGCCTGTCCCGTGCCCAAGCACAAGCGTTTTTCCCACAGCCTCAGATCATCCCGCCCTGTAGGAGCAGGGTCGTCGTCTAGCCAATCCCTCAGCCAAGCAGGCCTGCTCTGCAGTGTGTTTATGATCCTCCATGAGCTTCGCGTTTAACACCGGGTTTTATTAGTATTTGTTTTTGTCTTTTGGAACAGGATTTCTGTGTGTATCTTTGGCTGTCCTCGAACTCGCCTTGTAGACCATGTTGGCCTTGCGCTCACGGAGATTCACCTGCCTTTGCCTCCCTAGGGCTGGAATTAAAGGCTTGAACCATGCTTGGTGAACACTGGGTTTTAAACTATGTGCTCTGGGTTTCCTGTGTGCAATCAATCAATCCCTCTTAAGACTACAGGATAGGCATTTCCCGCCAGTGACTGAGCTGGTTGTTAGGAGTGCTCTCCGGTTGCTCCGCATGCCTGCCATTTTTCCCTGGCATGGATCCCACCCCCTAATCAGGTTCTAACCAAATCTAACAAATTTTGTTAGATATAAATTCCTTTCAGTTATTCAGGGTCTGCTCCAGGACCTTAGTGTTACAATGGCAACACCTGCTGGCCAACATCCTTATTACACAATAAAAATCCCAGTAGCCACCTGAACCTGCCACCTGAACACTGGCTCCACCTGCTGATCAATCAAGATTATTACACCTACCACAGTTTGCTGAGGATTTTAATGGAGGTAAATTATTTGATAACTAAATATTAGATTGATAAATAGATAATTTTTCTATACCAATTGTGGATAATATCAACATTCAGAAATTTAAAAACCTTTTCATTTCTACTATAGATGGAATTTTAGAAGAGATTTAGGACCTATCTGGGATGTATACATTATTAACCATAGTTGCTATAGTCTGGAAATTCATATTACATCCTTAAAATATGGTTTGATAAAAGTTTCAGGAATGAGAAACTTACTGAAATGTTATAGACTTTACAAACTGACTCTGAGAAATTACCAAAAGGATTCATTCCATGGATGATAAATTAACAGGCAAAATTTATTCCATAGAACATGGAAATATTCAATTGGCAGAAAAAGATTCATTTATGTCAAATGGTTATGTTAGCAGATAAAACATTGGTTTTGGAAGGCAATTTGCAAGCCTTCCAGATAATCTCTAAGGATAAAAGTTATGACTGATGGATAAAATTAAATCCTTTAGAATCATATGTGAATGATGAAAACAAGAAGCTGAGTGATCTAATGAAATCATTGGAATCATTCTCTTTTCAGGAAGTTCAAACCTTACAGAAAGCAGTGACAAATAGATTTCGATGTTTAGAAGAACTTGCTAAAACCGATAAAAAGAGCATTGTTGCTCGGACAAAAGAGATTAGAGGGGACTTAACATTGCCAGTATCTCACAGAGTCAGAGATGACTTGTGACTTGTAACTTCACCTGATATAATCTATCCTGTTACATTTCTGAAAAGGCAGCAAATATTAACTATCCAGAAGGATATGCAGAGTGTAAATGGGAGCATATACATATGAAAGATTTAAAAGATTTTAAGGAGGCAATAGTTTCTTATGGTATGCATTCAACATCTGTGACACAATTGTTAAATACATGGTCTTCAAGAAATAGGATTACACCATGTGATTGGCTTCAACTAGCCTTAGCTTTATAGTTTTATAATATGGTCCTCAGTTACACTGGAGGAGCTATTAAAGAAAGGAGGCTAAGTTCCCTGAACACCAAGATAAAATCAGAGGCTATGAGGTTTCCCAAGATCAAATTCTTGGTGAGGGCCATTATGCTGACATAAATAGTCAGTCTACTAACAATGAACACATTGTGTCTGTATTGCCATACAGCAGCCTCAAATGCTTGGGACAGGATTCAAGAACTAGGAAAGGAATTGAGTTTTATACAAGGCCCACAAGAACTCTTCAGTGACATTTTACAGGGATGGACTAAAACTGTTCATACAGGGGTATCAGATCAAAAAGATAGATAAGTACCAATAGAATCTCTGGCTTTTGAAAATGCTAACTGAGAATGCAAAAAGATACTTGGGCCTTTAAAGATCAGATCAGCACCAATAGATGAGTGGATTTTACACACAGCCAATGGCGAGTCTCTTGACTATAATAATGAGACCTGGGCAAGAGAGGCATTTTCCAAAGGCCTAAAGACACATCAAAATGCCAATTTTTAAAATTGTGGTAGAATAGACCATTTGAGAAGAAACTGAAGACAGGGAATTCCTAGAAATAATGTTTCTTCTGGGAATGACACAAATAGAAGGCCCCAACTTTCTTGACTATGCAGAAAATGTGGTAAAGGTCAACATTGGGCCAACAAATGTAGATCAACAAGAGACAAACAATGTAACTCTTCACCATCAGGAAGCTTCTTGGGGGACCTCTCACAGGCCCCCAAGTCGAATGTGGTCTAGTCATTCCCAGTCGGTGTGGAGGATAATCTTCCCCAGAATAATTAGAAAATCCAGGGTCTATTGTAAAAAAGCATAATGCTTGCTGGATGATAGAATAGGTTTGGAGGATGAATCAAAAATTCCAGGAGGAACTAGAACATGTATACTTTGGCAGACTTCTATAAATGATCAAAGACCAAAGCTAAAAGTACAATTAAATAACATCATAATTGAGTGATTATTAGACACAGGTGAGGATGTGACTATTAATACTCCATAATCTTGGCATCTGAATTGGTCTCCTCATGAGGTAGATGTTCAGTTCCTTGGGATTGGAACCCTATCTCAGGTAAAACAAAACTTGAGATGGGTTGAATGCACAGGGCCAGAAGGACAGAGAGGAAGGCTGAGGCCATCTGTGGCTAAAGTAGTAGTGGCTCTATGGGGTCGTGATATACTGCAGCAATGGAATACCCAGATTAATATTCTTCACATCTCTGAAACAGACCACAAACCAACTCATGTTTATGGGAAGAATATTATAAGGCATTATTATTTTAAAAAAAAACAGTTTCTGACTATCCAGGCTGTACAAAAACAAGGCAAACAGCTGCCAAACTCTCAGAGGTACCAATGGTCCTACCCTTAAAATGGTTTTGTATTAGGCTTAGAAACTTCTTATTTAGACAAAATGGGGAACTGTTGTGAGAGTTCATTCTGTCAATCGCTTTGGGGTGCCTGTCTTAGGGCATGGCCTTGTGTGCTAGGTGATGACTGATAAGCCTGAGGGGAAAGCATGCTCATGCTCTTGCTCTGGCTGGTGTTTGGCGTGGTCAGAGACCCACACAGCAGAGAGGTACATTGGATCAGAGGTGGCTTCAGCCTTACTCTGTATCTGTGAGTTTGTCCTTCTCATTGTACTCCTTAATAAGTCAGTTTTTGTACCTTTTTGAGTTCATACTTCACTTATGTATAGGCAAAACACTCATACATATCAAATTAAATAAGCACACCTGAAATAAGACAAAATAAAATACCACCCAAAGAAGCTAGTAACATGGGAGCTGGAGTGATGGCCCCAAGGTTAAGACATCTTGTGCCTCTATCAAAGAAACAAAGCTCAGATCCCATCTTCGACATTAGATCCCAGTACTCAATCAAAAGATGTTTTAGCTCCAATTTCCAGGGAGCCAATATCTCCTTTTGATCTCTGCAATAACTTGAATACCCATGTCCTCACATACAAATAAAGTCAAATAAATGTTTTAAAAATTCAGAATCATGTCTATAAATCCATCCTTGATCCCAAACATATTCAGCATCCAAACATCTTGGCACACTATTTGATATTCACCTGCTCAAATGAAAACCACGAAACTATTCAAAATGTCTTCTATTCCCATTCTCTGTGTTCAACTATTAATAAATTTAAAATCTTTGGAACCCATTAGTGCCTCCTCTTCCTCCAGATTCCTATCACAGTTCATCAGGCTTCATTTGGACCATGGAAACCATTTAAATACTTATTTCCCTATGCTTAGTCTTTTCTTCATTAAAATCTGTAACCTCTAGGTGTCATACCAGTGTGTCATCTTTGAAAAAAAAAGAATGCTCACATTAATCTTATGTGCCTGTTAAAAACCTGCAGTGGTCCTCTTGACATACAGTGCAAAAACCACTGGTGTGATGCAAAAGTTGCTTCCTGATCTAGTCCATATTAACATTTCTAAAAAGAGTTCTTTCTGTATCCCACATTCGTTTTACATACCAAAATAGAAGCAGCTTGCTACTCTCTCAACACCACATGCTCTCCCTATTTCATCATTCCACACCACAATCCCAAGGTCCACCTTGACAAGAAACTGCCTCATCTTGACCAGGTGAAGGACACGCTAATGACCGAGGAATAAATGGACACTGAGATCTTCAGGATCATCTGCCAGGAGCTCATACTCCTTTTCTCATACTGTTACATTAGCGAGGGCTGGATCACAAAACAGAGTGCTATTCTTTTTGAGACAGGGTCTTACTATGTAGCTCTGGTTGACCTGGAATACACTATGTATCTGTTTCATTCTTAAAGCTAAATCCTGGGTGGAGAGCAACTCTCTAACAATCTCAGCCCCCAAAGGTTTGCACACGACTTCCTGAATACAAGTGTCACCCTCATTCCTGGTGACTGAGTGCTTTATCCTAAAAGCTAAGCAAACAGCTACAGTGCATTAGAGGTTTGTAATGTTGACCATGGTTTTCAACAACACAGGATTTCTGTATCTAGATAGAACTTCTGATTCCCGAGACCAAGCGAGGCACAGGGAAAGGTCACACTCTCATACATGTACACATGCTAACATGTCAGTCTCCTATATTCAATAAACACAAATGCACACTTGCTACCCCAGTCTTACTCATGAGCCTCTTTGGCCACTACACAGACTCACATGTTCAGTGTTACATCCAGTGACCTTTATCCCGGCACACAAGGCATTGGCTGCTCTCTCATTATTAAATACTCTGAATTGGATGTATCCTGCAGTGATTTCCCCTGTAAACAAAAGACAGGAAACAGCATTCAAGGAAAGTGCTAAAAATTACTCTCAGCCCAGAGTTTATGGTGTCAGGTTCAGGATATACAGTCTAAAATATCAGACCCATTCGAGGAGCTTCACCTATTCCCATCTACAGACCCCAGGAACTGGTCCTTGAGAAAAGGTTCCCATCTGTCAGAGCTTAAATGGAGAAATTTCTGATACAGCAAGATCTCTACTGAATATCTCCAAGGACTTGTCACAGCAGTTAAGTGCATTTATTCTGGCCCTGTTTATATTTTACCTTGCTAACTTTTCTTTAAAGCCTTATATCCAAAGAATAAATAAGAAGTTCTTTGAATTATACAGCAAAAGTTTAACATTTATAAGGGTACATGACCTATTTGGATTTATATTAAACAACAGAGTAGTCATCCCTCACAACTGAAATAAATACATTTTTTTCCTCTTGTTCAGCCCCTGTGTACATGGACCTGTTCTGTTCCTAAATAAACTTCCGACTGATAATGAGATTGCTAAGAGTATTCCAGAACCATGTATCCCCAGTGCAAATGCTAACTCTCCTGCTCATGCCCTGTGCTTTCAGGCAAGTTCCAGGACCTTCAGTGCTCCAGTCTCCTAATCTGTGAAATGGGTTAGTGATAGTTGAGAGCCCAAGGACAATCAATTGAATGAAGTGTAACAAAACACAAACATACAGAGGGTTCAGATGAGCATTAGAGACTCACTTTGGCTGTCGGGGGAGTAATATGAGGCTGTCTTCTGTGCATCACCAAAGTCGTAGGTCACAGGTAATGCTGGTCCATTGTCAGTCCAACACTTCCCTCCTCCATATTTCACTGGGTACTTCTACAAGGAACAAAAGAAGCCACTGGGTAAGGACTGCAGCACCGGCACTCCCAGTAACACTACCCTGCACAGAGAAGCACCGCATGTGTCCAGTAAGTGAGATTGTTTCCAAACCAGTTAGATAAGAAAGACTCCTTTCCATTGTCTTTGTCTCTCTGACATCCTCGGTCAGCTGCTCCCTTTTCTCTTCTCTTCTCTTCTCTTCTCTTCTCTTCTCTTCTCTTCTCTT